AAATAAAATCTGACTCCCGACCTCCAATTCCATATCCAACTTTAGGGAACGTTCCCTTGTATGACCTCAGATATAGGTGTCCGAATTGTCTATGCACGACCTAAAGTAAAGATATTCAGGTAGTTTACATTATATCATGAGAAAGCACATCATTTCTAGCTCACATTAGGAAAACATAAACGAGGGAAGATCACAACCTATCCAGACTTAGGAAGATGTCTCAATGCCACCTTATCATGTTTTAGAATGTCACGTCACGCTCAGAGAATATAGTCTCTAAAGACAAAATATTTTCTTAATAAAATCTTAACAAACTGAAGATCATGGGATGACGACATGAGAAACCACCACACATATGGATATAAATAAAAAGACAATCACCCGGGTACAAAATACATCAATTGTAATTTCTATCTTCTTCTTCAAGCAATTGAAAACTTTTTTTAAGGAACAGAATAGTCCATTAGAATTGATTACCCAAGCTCTTACTCTCGAGCTCTTACCTCTGTTTTACAATTACTGTGACATCTTACAAAGTCCTCTTACTCAAACATAAATCGATCTCACACAAATTGTTCACTCACACGTCACTGTTCACAAGCCTTGAGCTTCTCAGTTCAAACACACATCTCATGCTTTGAGTTTTTATATCATCACATATATTAATGTATGATCAAACTAAGTAAATAAAAAAAAGCTACGATCAATGTATATTTAATTAAAAATCGACTAAGTCTTTTTGAATTGAATTATGTTTTTGGACACTTAATTTCTAATTTTTATTGGAATTTTATGTTCACTTAAAAAGGAAAATCAATTAGGTATTCGACTTGGACTTGAGTTGAAAATTTTAAATTTAATTTAAATTTAAATTATTATTTTTTTTGAACAAAAATTTAATTTAAATTTAAATTATTGAGATTTTATATATTGACACAGCTATTTACATTGCCTGACGTCATTATTTTACCCAATTAAATTGTAAAGTAGCCCCCCCTTGAGAGGGGCAGTATGGGAAACTAAAAATTTGAAAGGTGTATGATGTGAAGTCGGGTCCCACTTGGGCCGAGTGGGCTGTCCAAGCCAGCCGACAAATCCCCGTTTTAACGGGGTAACCTGGGAATTTTGTAAAGATTATTAGGAGTGGCACGTTTGCCGTCCTTTAACATGAATTCTTTTGAGCCCCAAAGCTCTCTAACCACCTTTCATCGCCACCACAACCACCCACAGCCCCATCATCATCAACATATCTTGGCGTTCTCATGATTACCACCTGGATTAATCTTACAATGTGGGATACAAATGGCTTTTCAACTGGCAAATCCGAAACAGTCCATTGAATTGTGAGGATGCACAAATTAATCTTCATGAAAGATCAACAGTCAAAAATGTGAATAGGTATAATTAATGAGCAGTAAATAAATAATCAATGATAAAACAGTAAATAAGAACTCAACACAGAGATTTATAATGGTTCAATCTCGAATGACCTACTTCACTTTCGGGAATGACAACTGTAGTCGGTGTTCTTTATTGATGAATGACAGTACACCAGAGAGTTACAATGCCTTAGAGAGAGAGAGTAATGAGTGTAGGTTTCAGAGGCCTTGGAGGCGTGCCCTCAATGTTGAGGGAGCTTATATTATATAGGTGTGATGAGGCGGTGACGTGAGGAGGAAGACTTCCACTGTCTTAGTAAGTACAGTTATGGTAGGAAATCTCCGTGCCTATCCTAGTGTTTTCTCCCTCGTACTCCTATTTCTTCTTCAAAGGGTCTTGAACTGAACTGAACTCGTACTTGACTTTGGGGTTGGATCCGAAGTGATCTTGGACTTGCATTGGAGTGAAGTGAAGAGGGGAGGATGGGCAAGGCATGGACGACACCCACTTGAGGCCACATGGGCGGCACCCCCTTTGAGGATGGGCTTGGTCTCTATTTTGGACTCCCACTTGACTCCTTTGTCGATCCATCTGTTCTTGCACTTTTCTTTGGGCTTTCTCGGCTTAATTTTATTGGGCTTGGCCTAGTAAAATTCGGACTCATCAAATTGTTCCTTGGTTGGACTCACTTCTTTTTTTTTTGTTGTTATATAGTGTTAAAGTTTGTGTTGATTACTCTCTCAAATTTCGATATTGATCATTATAATTTGAGCAAGGTCTAGAACATATCCCCTAAAGAACAAAAGTGATTAACCTTTAAAAGGTGCGAGAACATATCCCCATTTTACTTTACTCACTAGAAAAATGTTATTTAGACTTTAAAAATTAAAACTATTTGTTAATTCTATCGATCATAACCATTGAATATGTAATGAATTAATAACAGTGATTGATTCTAGGGACCCATAATTAAATTAATGGGTTGCAGTAGCATTTTGCTCTTTTTTTTCGTGGGGGGGAAATTTATAAGAGTAATGCCGTATAAATTTAAAATGTAGATTTAAAAATTACGAGTAATGTTATATTGATCAAATTTTAGGACTAAATTTAGAGTTCAAATGACACGGCAGTATATTATTTGGAGTTTTTATTTGGGCCCAAATGAGGTGGCACCAAATAAAGAAACCTAAGTCAGTTGTCATATCATTTAGACTCTAAATTTGGTCCTAAAATGTGGTCAGTGTAACATTACTCAAAAATTAAACTTAATAATTATAATTATTGAATAAGTAATTGTTCTCAATAAATGCTAAAATTTATAATAAAATTAATAATTATAATTATCAAATTTAAATTTTAAATCCAAGTAACATTGCTCGATATAAAAAAAGTGAAATTTCAAGGTAATGGTAGCCGCAAGTATAGTGGGGCCAAGCCTAATATTGTGGGTCACCAACCGAGCCGACCATAAAAAAAGTAGTAGCGTTTTGCTATACAGTGTTAAGTGGGGCTAGGCTTGATGGCGCGCGTGTTCTGTGTTTTAAAGAGTGTTGAGTTTGTGGCTCGGCTTGAGCCAACTCTACTCCAACACTCGACTTTTTAACGCTGCGCTGCGCCGAATTAACAGGCAGTTAAAAACTTACCGGAAAATAACTAGGATTTTTTGGAAGGCCGTACAATTTTTATAAATTATTTGACTTTAAGTAAAAAAAATTAAATTTCTTAATTTTAAATCTTTCTCAATTATTTTTAAAATTCTTAAATTTTAGAATTTTCTTATATTAGAACTATTTTATTCTTTCTCTCATATACATATAATTGTGACCAAAATAAAGATAACACAAAATCAAAATTCTTTAATTTTTAATACTTTCTAAGATAAAGACTGTGTTTTTCTCTATATATATAATTTGTGACATATATACTGTAACAACAATGTCACACGGCTTGTAAAATATATATGTAATTCACTATATACACACACACACACCATATAAAGGTTTTGGCACATAGAAAGTACCACAATGTGACTTAGGGATTGACACACTGTGGACATCACAAATGTGACATTAATGTCAAACTGCATGTAGACATCATATACAGGGTTTACACATGGATGGTATCATATTGTGATTCCAATGTAACATTTCATACACACATTACATAAAAATTCAAAAACATATGGGTAAGTATCATGTGTGTGAAATCCAATGTCACAATGCAACTACACATCATATGCATTATTTTTTCATGGTGTGAGCATCAAAAGTGTGACTCTAACATCACACTGCAAAACAAACATCGTATGTAGTGTTTTTGCACAGGGTGGATATCACACGATGTAACTTAAATGTAACACTACATAAACAAAGAGAGAAAACAAAAGGGGGAGAGAGAGAGAATAGGGAGAGAAGAGTAATGACGGGAGAGAGAACAAGTTTTAGAGAGAAAATAGGGAGAATAAAAAGAGAGATATTAACAGTGAGAGTTAAATATAGAGAGAAAAAAGAAAATCTTTTTAAAACTAATAGAATCATTTCAAAATTCAAAAGGTTAATTATTCTTTAATTTAGGAAACTACTTAGCCATTAAAAAAGAATAAAAAAATAAGAAAATTTTCTCAATAAAATAGGAAACTGAATTTCACAATTAACTGCCTAATTTATCTTCCACGAATAAATGGGAAATGGTTTTTATGTAAATAAATTATTTAAAAAAAATTAAAGTGTATCTGTTTACAAAATATTTACATTAAAAAACACTTATATACAAAATATATATTAAGGTATTTCTTCATAAATAACCAGTGTATACTGTATTTTTTTACAATTTTGCCCAAATAAGTAACGGGCCAGGATTGGCTGGCCCACTACTGGACAATCCACATTCGCGTCTCTACAAAAGGGGAATACTCCACGCGCTTTTTAGCTGCCAATTCTTGTTTTTTTAGTCTAAAAATTTGCTACAATGTCATTTAGATTCTTAATTTAATCTAAAAATTTGGTCAGCATAGTATTACTGTATTGTAAATTCAATATGCTATTCAAAATTTGATAAATATGAATTACTCTTTATTTGTATCAAAATATCTATATTTACAAACTAACTAATACTAATATCACACTGCAATGAATTTATTTATGAGTGAATTAATAAATATATAAAAAGAGAGAATATTACAAAAAATATAAACCTCAACAAGAAGTAACAAAATATAATTGCTTCAAAGTAATAAAATTTATATTTGTTTCCTTTCAAAAAGAAAAACGAGAAGTAAAGACATCAAAAGATAGATGCGAGAGACGACACGTTCAATCAAAGGATAAAATGAGGTCTTTGGGTAAAAAGAGTTTATATTAAGTCTTAAAAGTTTAGTTAAAAAAGTATTTCACGTATATTTAATTTATCTATTAATTAATATTTAATAAATTATATCGTATATAATTGATATATAAACGAGTCGTATTGTATATTTATTTTAATTAAATTTATTTATACTCAATTTATTTATTATTCATATTATATCAAGTCCATTTATTTAATAATCAAAAAACTTATAAAAGACTCGTACCGCCGTGCCAAAAACACTCCCGAATAAAATGATGCATTAAAAAGATCGTTTGAGCGGGCTTATAAATTGCAGCTTGGGCTGTGCATTGAGTTCTTACTGATCAGAACCAAGTCTCTGTCCCTGAAATCTCTCGATTCTCTTTCTACCAAACGAAGACTCAAGAATCGAATCGGAAAGTGGAGTACAGTGAATTGGGTTTCACCTTAGAGAGAGAGAGAGGAATTTAAAACTCAAAGAAAAGAAAAAGTCACACAAACACATATGTATACTATATACTAGTTGTTTATATATGCGTAGTTGAAGCGGAGCAGAAAGGCTTCCTTTCTTGTTCACTCTGTTGAGTCATTGCTCTGAAAATTAACCATCGAAAACACTCTGAGCTTTGCTGCTTTTGGGGTCATTCGCCGCCTTTGTGTTACGGCTTTGCCTTTTCTTCTGTAGGAAAATTGGAAAGATCAAGTGCATTTAAGTAGCCTATTTGTGATTTTCAGTGATTTTCTAGCTGGGTTTTTTGCAATTATATCTGGAGTTTGCATTGATGTCTCTGTGTTGTCTCCCTTGTTTCTTCAGCTGTCATATCTTGGAATGAAGAATTCTTCATCTCTAATTCAATTGTAAACCCCTTTAAGTTCTTGTGCTTTCACTATACATTCCATTCTTGTACTCAATTTGGTTCTAAAAACAAATAACAAGTCATAAATTGAGGCTTAGCACGATCAAAAGAGTGTTTTCTGAGATCTGGGTTCAAGAAAGAGACGTCTCAAACAAGGTATTACAGATTGAATATGGGTGTTTTTTGTTTTTTCTTTTTGTATTTTGAGTTTTCTTTGTTTTGGTCTGTTTGTTTTGGATCTGGGGACTTATTGGCGTTCGTTTTCTGGGGAAGTGGGGGTGTGGTTTATGATTATTCTTTTGTCTCATAGAGTGTCTTTCTTGTGTTTCAGATCTGCCAGAATTCAGACCTTTCCCTTTAGAGGAAATCGAAGACAATGTTACCTCAGAAGCAAGCAGAGGAAGCTATTGTCCCGAACACCAACGAGACAGAACATGAAGGGAAGGAGGAAGAGAAGGAAGAAGAAGAACAGTCCATTTTCGGTGTCAAGAGCCTCCTCTGGCATGGAGGTTCAGTTTGGGACGCTTGGTTTAGTTGTGCTTCAAATCAAGTATGTCTATATGCACATAAACGCCCCCATTTCATAGAATTTATACCAAGATTGGTGTTTCTTGATTGTCATAAAGACAAACATGTATTTAACTTTGGTTATGTAATTGATTGCAGGTAGCACAAGTGCTTTTGACACTACCATACTCTTTCTCTCAACTGGGCATGCTATCAGGCATATTGCTTCAGATATTCTATGGTATTCTTGGTAGCTGGACAGCTTACCTTATAAGTGTGCTTTATGTGGAGTACAGAAGCCGAAAGGAGAAGGAGAATGTTAGCTTCAAGAACCATGTCATTCAGGTTTCTTTCCCAATCCCACCATTACTGATTCATTAGCATCAAAGCCTTAGTGGAAGTCTCAAAAACAAACCCAATTTGATTGTTCTTGAACTGCAGTGGTTTGAAGTGCTTGATGGTCTATTGGGTCCTTACTGGAAAGCAGTGGGTCTAGCCTTCAACTGTACTTTCCTTCTCTTCGGATCTGTGATACAACTCATAGCTTGTGCAAGGTAAAAAACTTGATATTTCTACCTTTACCCTGGATTAATATGAAAAGGGTTTCTTCTCTTCTTAAAAAAAAAAAAAAAAGAGTGAACTGAATGAAAAGGGTATCTTCAATTTTGACTGTTTTGTTTGCTTTTTGGTGACAGTAATATATATTACATTAATGACCGACTGGACAAGAGGACATGGACATATATATTTGGAGCTTGCTGTGCAACCACTGTATTTATACCCTCCTTTCACAACTACCGGATTTGGTCTTTTCTAGGCCTTGGGATGACAACATACACAGCGTGGTACTTGACCATAGCAGCTCTGATTCATGGCCAGGTAATTCTACTGTACTTAAATTAAATTATTCTCCAATCAGTGATAATTTTTTCTGGGTTTCTGTAAGTGGAAGCCATTAGAATTTTCTGCTGCTTTATAGGTAAAGTATATATATAAAAATATTATTTGAACTTAATTTATAGACGTAATGTTGAGATTTAATTCAATATAACTATTAAATTAAAAGTGGGTTCAATCTAATTCCAACGATTCCATTGGATTATGTCCTTGATTAGGTCCCCAAATATAGTGTCAATTGCACTTTGCACCCAAGATGAAAGAGTACAAATTGGCGTTTACTTTTTCATTATAGTAAGTAGTGCAAACATAATAATAATTTGCGTTTTGAGACGGAAAAGTGAACAGTCTAAACTGCAGTTGTTTTATGACAATGAGAATGCAATTTTAGGATTAAAAATTTTCAAGCTGTTAAATTTTGAAATTAACCAAGTATATATTTTCAGTAGCTTAAGTGGTTTTGTGTGTGTGTTGTGGTTGTATTGCAGGATGATGGGGTGGCACACTCAGCTCCCAAAAAAGCGGTGCTATATTTCACCGGCGCCACCAATATTCTATACACCTTCGGTGGACATGCTGTCACAGTGTAAGCTTTTTTATTTGCTCTGTCTACAAACACAGCACAGACACACACACACACACACACCATTTTTATCTTCTTATGCTCTTTCTGCAAGGCTTCTCTAACTTGAAGCTTTTGCCGGCCACCTTGGGGTTTGAGACAACAGACAGAATCATGGAAACTACTTTTCCTTTGTTTGTTAGAGGCAAACAACGTTTCCCCTCCATGGCTCTAATATATATGAAAACAACAGTGAAATGGGCCAACGACTCTCTTTCTTCTTATTTTCACCCTAATCAAGATCTAGTCTACCTTTTCTTTTCACCTCTCGATCATGTTTCTGTCATATGTTCTGCTGTCATTTACTAATGTAAACCAAGGCAATACAGTTTAATCATTTAAAGATTAAAAGTAGAATATGATGTTAATTGTTATAGAATCCAATGCCCATGCTGTGTGTATCAAAGAAAGGGTCATTTTTAAATTCTCTATGACCACTGAGATAGTCTAGCAGTATACAGTTAACTCTGACGTGTGCCATAAATTAAAATGTCTTGAGTTGTGTTTGACTTATACTTGTGACATACGAGTGTTTGTATGTATTCCAGATTTATTATGTATGATAGATCAAACGTAATTCTACATTTTTATAAATTAAAAAAAAAAATAGTTTTTTAAATTCATTTATTTATTTTTGTATTCATTAATGCAATTTTAATCAGTCTGATCATTGCTGGGCATGGAAAACTTTGCAGGGAAATTATGCATGCCATGTGGAAACCGCAGAAGTTCAAGTACATATATCTCTTTGCCACCCTCTACGTTTTCACGCTAACACTTCCATCAGCGTCTGCCGTCTACTGGGCATTCGGCGATCAGCTTCTCAACCACTCCAATGCCTTCTCCCTCCTGCCTAAGACCTGCTGGCGTGATGCCGCCGTTATCCTCATGCTCATCCACCAGGTCTACTATACTAGTGTTACTTCTTTTGGCACAAACTACATTATTTTTCTAATAAAATGTAATTTTTTTTACTGACTTTGAAATGTGTGGTTATGGCGATTACAGTTTATAACATTCGGATTCGCATGTACACCACTGTACTTTGTGTGGGAGAAGGTGATAGGCATGCATGACACAAAGAGCATTTGTCTAAGGGCTTTAGCTAGATTGCCAGTGGTGATACCAATATGGTTCTTGGCCATAATCTTCCCATTCTTTGGGCCCATAAACTCTGCTGTTGGGGCTCTTCTGGTTAGCTTTACAGTCTACATCATCCCAGCTCTTGCTCATATGCTTACCTACAGAAAAGCCTCCGCCCGTCAGGTAACTCTCTCTCTCTCTCTCTCAACATTATGTATGTTGGGTCTAACCATGATATCCAAAAAAAATTTTGATGCGGTAACTTTTATTTTCCACCAATCAAAACAATACACATGTGGAGTTACTATATTTTATTATCAATAAATAAATAAAGACAAGATTTACGGCTGATAAAAGTTTTTAGTATGTTTCCAAAACTGTACCCTCCTGTTAAATCTGTCATCTTCCTCTCTCCACCTGTTATCCTTGTTTTTGTATTGCCATTCTAGATCTGTCATTGTTCATCCATTCAATCTCAATTCAAACGTTTATGTATATACAAGTCAGGAGAGAGAGAGAGAGAGAGGGGGGGGGGGGGGGCCGGGGGGGGGGA